ACTTTGATCTCAGCATTTAGAGGCAGAGGCAGACAGATCTCTGAGTTCAAGGCCAATCTGGTCAACAGAGCAGGTTCCAGAACAGCCAGGGCTATTCAGAAAAACCTCGTCTTGATGAAACAAACCAAGCAAGTAGACAACACTGTTGATGGCGAGGTGTGACGGTGCTCACCTCTCATGGCAGCACCTGACAGGCAGAGGCACATGGATTTCTGTTCGAGACAGTGAGTTCCAGGACAGCCAGGACTACATAGAGAGACTCTGTTCTCAAAAAAAAATTTTTTTTGTATTTTTAAATTTATTTTTTTTTATAAATTACAGTTTATTCACTTTGTATCTCAGCTGTAGCTCCCTCCCTCATCTCCTCCCAATCATACCCTCCCTCCCTCCCTCATCTCCTCTCATGCTCCTCTCCAAGTCCACTGATAGGGTAGGTCCTCCTCCCCTTCCCTCTGACCCTAGCTTATCAGGTTTCATCAGGCCTGTCTGCATTGTCTTCCTATGTGGCCTAGTAAGGCTGCTCCCCCATCAGAGGGAGGTAAAAAAAATTTTTTTTAAATTTAGTTAATGCATATTGGTGCTTTGTCTGCATGCATGTGTACCACTTGAATTCAAAGCCTGCAGAGGCCAGGGGTGGGTATCGGATCCACTGGAACTCGTTACAGACGGTTCTGAGCCAAAATGTGGGTGCTGGGAATAGAACCCAGGTCCCCTGGAAGGGTATAACCAGTCCTCTTAACTGTTGAGTTATCTCTCTAGCACCTCTTTGCTTTTGTTTTGATTAATGGGTTTAGAATATGCATGCCTTTATTTGCTGAGCACGTCCTTTCCCATGATACTTCTGTTATTCAGCACATGCATGTGGCACCATGCATAGACGTAAAGATGGGAAATAGGAGTTTTCCCTAAGAGTCCACATGGAGGACACCATTTACCTCATTGCTCAAGCACCCCAAACTAGCCCAGTGCTTCTAATCCTAGGGCATGTTTCAAGACGTTTTTGAACACTGAAGAGTAGCTACTAAGAGGTTTCGAAGGAGGTGTTAGAGCGGTGAGCAGTTTAGAAAGGGGTGTGCTTGTAGCTGATGCAGGCCAAGTGCCTTGCTGGGAAAAAGGTGTGCGTGTAACTAGAGCCATGTGGGATCCTGGCTTGGTGAGCTAGCAGTATGCTTGCCTGTTTCACAGCCATGGGCTGAGGCCTTGAACTGTAGCCAGGCATATCGCTCCCAACTCCTCCAGTCCTCCTCCTGCTCACAAGCCCTTCACCCATGCTTAACACCCCACACGGACTCTGTTCCAGACATCTTCCTCTCTAGCTCAAGCGTTTACCTCTTGGCACTAAGTTATTTGTCAGCCCACGAGCTTGCACTCCACTCTCCCAGTGAACACCTTCCTTTTCAGGAATGCCGGGGTAAGCTTCCCTCTTCATGTTCCTCCTCCACGGTCTCCCTTTCCACCCCCTCCCTAACCTCTGCAGTTCCATGGACTTGCCTTCCCTGGGGCCATTTCTTTAACAGAAGTCACTACACTACCTACTGCCCTTCACCACTGTCGTCTGGCAGAGGAAACGATGAAGGTGGCGAACCCAGGGCCAAACTCAGCAACGTGGCAAGGAACACACATGGGATAGAGAAACAATGTAAGTAGAGGCTGGAAAGGTTCCTCAGAGGAGACACTTAGAATGAGAGGATGGATTGGGGGGGATGGGGTGGAGGCTCTCCATCTGACACAAGGAAGTCCAGGAAATGATCACACCATCCAAAAGGCAGGGAAAGGGTAGACCAGGTAGAGAGAAGGACGCAGGCTTCAAGGCAGACCAGGCATTTGTGGTTGGCAGGAAAGGCCACGTTTTTGTGTTTGGAGGCAAGTATGAGACAAGGAGAGTTGCCAGGGTCAAGCAGGTAAAGGATTTGTGTAAGAGATGAACTTATTTAAGAGATTGTATCTGGTACTGGGAGGTGGTGGCACATGCTTTTAAGCCCAGTCCTGAGGAAGCAGAGGCAGTGGATCTCTGAGTTCGAGGCTAGCCTTCTCTACAGAGTGAGTTCCAGGACAGCCAGGGATATGTAGAGAAACCTTGTCTTGAAAAAAAAAAAAAAAGTAAAAAAAGAGATACTTATCTGGTGCAGATCTTTTTTTTTTTTTTTTTTTTTCTTTTTTTTCTTTTTTCGAAACAGGATTTCCCTCTGTAGCCTTGGCTGTCCTGGACTCACTCTGTAGATCAGGCTGGCCTCAAACTCATAGAGATCTGCCTGCCTCTGCTTCTGCCTCCCAGAGTGCTGGGATTACAGGTGTGCGCCACTGCACTGGGCTCTGGTACAGATATTTAAAAGGGACGGCCCTCAGAGGCTGAGGATGTAATTCAGTTAGTACAGTGCCTGCCTAGTGTGCGGGTTGTTCTGGGTCCTGATCCCCAGCTCTGCATAAATCCAGGAGTAGTGGCTTATCCTGGAGTCTCAGCATTCAGGAGGTGGAGGCAGGAGGATCAGAAATTCAAGGCCATCCTTAGCTACATGGCAAGTTTGAGGCTAGGCTGGGATACATGGGTCCTCATCTCAAAATAAGTCAAAATGAAAAGGTATAAAATATATGGAGTCCATGGGCTGACTCAGTGGGTAAAGGCACTTGCCACCATGCCTGACAACCTGAGTTTGTTTCTCAGGATCCACACAGTGAGAAGGAGATAGCTAACTCCTGTATGTTATCCTGACTTCCATATGCATGCCATGGCACGTGTACACACACACACACACACACACACACACACACACACACACACACATTTTAAAAGTAGATTTGGTTGGAGAGATGGCTTGGTGGCTAAGGGCACTGAGTGCTCTTCCAGAGGACTCATGTTCAATTCCCAACATCTACAGGGCGGCTACAACCATTTGTAACTCCAGTCCCAGAGGACCCAGTGTCTTCTTTTGGCCTCCCTGGGAGCCATGCATGCACATGGTTGTGGACATACAGACAAAACACTCATGGGACCTCAGGACTCACTGCTACATGGAGTGTGAACCGTAGGGGAAAGATGCAGAGGACAGAATCCCTGGGAAGCGCCACTGACTTAGTTTAGATCTCTCCCTCTCTCTGCCTGTTTCTCTCTCTGGTTCAGGGATTGAATTGAGAGTCTCCTGCATATTAGACAAACATGTACCATGTTACCATTGTAAGCCTGCATATATGCCTGCAGGCCAGAAGAGGGCACTGGATAATATTTTAGATGGTTATGAGCCACTATGTGGTTGCTGGGACCTTTGGAAGAAAAGACAGTGCTCTTTACCTCTGAGCCATCTCTCCAGCCCCTAGTTTTTCACTGTTTTAAACGCTTTTTTATTTAAAAAAAATTTATATCACTATTATTGTGAGTCTGTATGTGGGTGTTTAAGGCAGTCAGAGGACAACTTTCAAGGGTCTGTTTACCTTTCCACAAGTGGACCCAGGGTTTGCATTCAGGCTTGAGCAGCAAACATTCCTACCTGCTGAACTATGTGTCTGACTGGCACATTGTTTTTGCCATTTAGAGACAGGGTATCCTGCCACCCAGTCTAGTTTCAGCTATGTAGCTGAAGATAACCTTGAGCTCCTGATTTTTCTGCTTCTGCCTAAGACCCTAAGTGCTGGGTGGATGGTGTAAGCCTCCATGCCTAAGTTAAAAAAAAAAAAAAAAAATTTTTTTTTTTTTGTTTTTGTTTTTTGAGACAGGGTCTTTCTACATAACTAACCGTGGCTGTCCTGAAACTCACTACATAGACTGAAATCACAGAGATCTGCCTGCCTCTGTCTCCTGGGTGCTCGGATATCCCAGCAGTATTATTTTTTTGGAGACAAGGTCTAGCTGAATTACTCAGGCAAATTTCAAACTTACAGTTCTCTAGCCTCCAACCAGCTATTACAGGCCAATCTCACCTCACCCAGCTTCATCTTACATCTAATGCATGTAAAAAGAAATCACAAACCGACACTAGAGCAGGGCGATGGTGGTGCACGCCTTTAATCCCAGCACTTGGGAGGCAAAAGCAGGCGGATCTCTGTGAGTTAAGAGTTCAACCTGGTCTGCAAAGCAAGTCCAGGGCAGCCAAGACTACACACAGAGATACCCTTTCTGAATAAAACGATCACTCAAACACCGCCCCCCCCCCCAAACAACAAAAACCTGCCACTTCCTTCCCCCTCCCCCTGTGTACTCAGCACCATCATCTACCCAGACTTCTGAACCAGACTTCGGTTATCGTTGCCTCTTTTCTCTCTCTCTCTCATCTTCTGCAGCACAAGTCTAGTCTATTCTTTTTCCTAGTTAATTCTTCACCATCCTCCGGCAGCCAGCAGCACTCTTGTGTGGTGGTCCGCACAAATCGCACAGCATTTCCTCCTTAACTCTGTCCCTCTACAGTTCACTGTACATGAAGCAGCCAGGTGAGGTTGTTAAGGACACAGATTCGGAGTTTCCTAACATTCATCCCTCAGAGACTCCCTTGGCTTTCAGGGTCTTTAGAAGTCAAGCCCTAAGAGCAAAGTAGGCACTGCAGGGAGAGGCTGAAGAAGACAGATACGGAACTGGCTGGCGTTGTGGTCCATGGCAGCACCACGCTCTTAACCCCAGTAGCAGAAGGCTGAGGCCGGAGGATGGAGAGTTATAACCCAGTCTAGGCTACAGAGAAAGAAAGACCCTGTCAAAAAAGAGGGGCGAGGAGTAAATAAAAGAAAGAGGGCAGGACCAGGCTCCAACCCGTCCCCTGTCCACTTGAGCCCTTTCCGGCCTCGGGACCTTTTTTTTCCCCCGCCAGTATTGAGGGAAGCTTTTCCGTTGGACCTTCCGGCGGCACCGGCCCTATTTCCCATGCTGCACTGCGGGCTTTTCTTTCTCTTCCGGTCCCGGACGCTGCGGGAGCCGCGGGTTACTGTGAGTGTTGGTAGCGCGGCATCCGATGCCATCCGTGATTTCTGGGTAGCGGCTGGTGGCGGGGCAGGCGACGCGGGCCACAGGGAGGACAGGGAGGGCGGCTGCGTGGCTGTGGCGTGCCTGTGGGACGTAGAGGCCGCGGGGCGCAGATACTGCCCGATCGTCCTCAGGGAATGGATGGAGGGGAAAGCCGCCCTGGAGGCCGGCAGACTTAGTTTCAGGACCTCATTTGCTCGCGTTTGAGAGGTAGGATCGCGTTCTGTGACTTCGGCGAGGCCGGGGGATGTCGTAAGTCGGAAGCGCCTGCTGCAGCCTTTTGCTGGTGTCTTCATGTTACACTAGCTCAGGGCAGCAGAGGTGGCCCAGTCTGGGGAACCCCAGCTCTGATCTCTTGTCTTTCCTGCAGGTGCAAACATGGCCAAGTCCAAGAACCACACCACACACAACCAGTGTAAGTTTCTTGGGCTCCAGCTGTCACTTGTACCCTAGCAAGGATTGGTTTAGGGTTGCTAGATCCGCGGGAGGGAAGAGACGTCTCCCGTCAAGTGAGCTTGTAGCTGATTTGTGTATTTAGGGTAGTTTTGAGATTACAAGATTGGGAAGAAGGTTCTGCTTTGCACTGGGTCCTGAGTGTTTTCCCCAAACTCACAGGACCATGCCAGCTGTGATGCTAGGTGGTCTTATTACCTCCTTTTCTGATATGTAAATATTTGTTACCCTACAGCCCGCAAATGGCACAGGAATGGCATCAAGAAACCCCGGTCACAGCGATACGAATCTCTTAAGGGGGTGAGTGAATACATTGGATCATAAACTGTCTCTGGTCTCCAGGTCCACAGTGTAGGGCCTGTTGTATAATCATGATTATCGCCTCTGGCTATTTGGGAGCTGGGCTGTTCCTGATAGGGTTTCTCTGTGTGGCCCTAATGTCCTAGAACTCAGAGCTCTGCCTCGCAAGGTGCTGGGGTTAAGGGCATTGGACACCAATGCCCAGGACCTCTGGTTACTCTCAACTGTTCTTTGATGTAGCGATACCTCAGGAGCTTCTGCTCCTTTCTCTTCCCTGCCAGGCTCCTGGCAAAGCTTTCTTTTTCTTTGACCTTCCCAGTCCCTGGTGTAACTTGCTCCTGAGAACAGAAGAACTGCTTCCCTTGCTCGGCAAAATCATTGAGGGGGGGTGATCTGTGTATTGGGTACCTTATGGTCTGCGTCTTTTGCACCATGTGGTTCTATACATTGGATACGGCCTAGTACTAGACTAGAAATAGCCAGGCCTGTACCTGTTCTGTTTGTTGCCTGCAGCCTTCCTCTCTGGTGTAAATCTAATGGACTGACCTTGGTATTTAATTGATAATCTCCGTTGAGGTGGGGAGGGTGGCCCTAGGGGAATTTCACACCCTTCACTCTTTCATGGTTAAGTTTGACTTGGTGCTGAATTTCTTGTCACCCTTGTAGATGGGGCTCCAGGAAATGGATTGGGACTGTTCACGTGCTACTACATACATCTTCTCTGTTTTCCAGGTGGACCCCAAATTCTTGAGGAACATGCGCTTTGCCAAGAAGCACAACAAGAAAGGCCTGAAGAAGATGCAAGCAAACAACGCAAAGGCAATGAGTGCGCGAGCAGAGGCCATCAAGGCCCTTGTGAAGCCTGCAGCTGTTAAACCCAAGATGCCAAAGGCCCCCAGCCGCAAACTCAGCCGCCTGGCTTTCATCGCTCACCCCAAGCTTGGGAAGCAGATTCGAAGCTACATGGCTAAGGGTCGTAGGCTCTGCAAATCAAAGCCCAAGGTTCAAACCAAGGCAGAGGCCACAGCTCCAGCTAAGGGCAAGGCTCCAGCTCCAGCTCAGGCTCCCAAAGGTGCCCAGGCCCCTGTGAAGGCCCCATAGGAAATGGTTCTACTAATGTGAAGACAGACGGACTGGTGTGACACACCCACCTACACACTATTTACAGATGACCAGTGTCCTATGCTGTTTTTACAAATAAACCTGAGGCAAGAGCTGTTAACTTGTGCCTGTTGTCGTGGTGTGGGGTGGAATCGCAGCCCTCTGTAGAAAGATTTCAGCCTGCAATGAAAGGGAGGGGTATGGTTTGGAGTCAGGAGGCAAGATCCTGCAAGGGAGGGACTTAGTGAACAAAAGTTGGCTGAGCTGAGGGAGTAGAAGCCTTACACACTTCGCCTGGGCGCTCTTCAGCTGCTCTGGCTTGATGGAATGCATCTGACGCGCCACTGCTGGGTTGTGCTGGATCAGGAAGGGGAGAAGGGTGATGATCTACCTTTCAGCCCTGGTGGCATGGCCCTGCTATCGCTCTAAGTGGTGCTTCACAGGCACAGACCTTTAAGATCTTTTCTAAAGTTCTGAGTGGGGATTCACTTGTGGTCAGAGGACAACATGTGGAAGGAATGTCCAACTAAACAGTCCTACCAACCTCATAACCTTGCATTGGCCTAGGCTGACACAGAACCTTTTCTCTAGTTCTTTGTGTGTGGGAGATAAATGGGGTGGCATGGAGCTCCTGTTGGAGGGTAGGTTAGAGGACAGCTGGGATCAGAATTCAAGATCAGGTTTAGCAGTAAGTGAGCCAGCTAGGCAGCCCTGGCCTTGACAGCTTCTGGTAGGGTCTTAAGTCTTCAGAGCAGCAAGTAAGTGACTGGTGTTTCTGAGGCATTATGTAGAGCAGAGTGTATCCTTTCTTGAGTACTATTAACCTTCAGAACTAGCCTGGACCCCTTTGTGTCTCAAATGGATGCTATAATGCAGTTTTAGCCCATGACGGACACTGAGGTGTGTGCTGGCGTTATTCTTGCTACCCATGAACAGGATCTGATCACATAGCTAGGGAGGGCGGGAGAGGCAGTCTTCCTCCTGTGAGAAAAATAGTTCCTTTAAGGAGCTCTGTTCTGAGGGGAGAGCCATGACCTTAGTGCAGAATGTCTGTTAGGACCTCAGTGCAAAGGCTGGCAGGGCTCAGTGTGAGCAGTTCAGAGTGCTGGCCCCTGGTAGCCCACATGCCAGGGTTTGAATTTTCTTTCCACAACTAAGGTCCGTAAAAAGCTCCATCTCCCCTGTCCTGTGCTCACGGAATTTAGATCAGAGCCTACTTCCTGGAGTCATGGCTAATGGCTGATACATAACCCACTAGGGAATGGCCCAACCTGTTTCCAGAGAAGCAATGCAGCACCTCTCCAGGCCCTCAGCATCCACTGCTGATAGGTCAGAAGTATGCTGGTCCACAACACAGCAGCTGGGTTCTCCAGCTGGACACCGCTGTGGTGGTGTGGTACTGAATGTTGTGCCATGCCAAGAGAGAGCAGTTCAGCTCAGGACAGAAAGGTCCCAAACCCAGGCTCTCTCTCTCTATCTCTCTCTTTTTTTTTTTTTTTTCTCATTTGTGAAATGGAGTTAAGTCCCCAGAGAAAAATTTCTCCATGACTGTCAACAGTATAAAGAATATCCCATCCAACACTGGCTTTATTACTGGGCAGGAGCAACAGATCCTTGGCAGAGGCTGGGCTGGAAGCTGCAAGGATTGGAAGGCATGGGGTTCAGCTTTGGCCAGGTAAGGCGGGCACACTAGCAAGTGCAGCGAGTAGGTGTGTATATATGTCAACCCCACGAAGGAACACAGCCTCATGCAGCCGTTCGTTATGGTCATGGAGCAGCACAGGTGTGCGGTTCATGGGCGAGAAGCCCAGAGCTGGGATTCCCACCTGCGGGGGTGATAAGGCACTGTTAGAGAAAAAAGGCAGTTTTCAGGCACCCCACTGCCTGGCACTGCCCTGTAGTGAATCGCTCACCGCTCGGATATAGCGGCTGTCAGTGGCAGCAGGAAAGATCTCTGGCTCCAGAGTGAGGTTCCTACAGGGGAAGAGCCTGGTAAATGGAGAGGAAGGAAAGGGAAAAACCAGAGGGGCATAGGACGGTGGGAAAGCCGGGGAGAACAGGGAGGAAAGGTTCTGGGGTCTGGGCTGTTGGAAGAGGACTGGTCAGCGCTCACATTTCCTTGAAGGCCCCGCTGAAAGCTGCCCACCAGGGATCAGTATCATCAGTGCATGTTATTCGGGGCTCCATAAACTTCTGGGGAAGAGAAGGAATGAAATGTTAAGGACTCACAGAATGTGCTGTGCTTGGCACAGGGCACACCTACCAGGCTTCCAGGTGGCCAGCACAGCCCCAGGCCCTCTTCCACTCCTTCAAATGTCCTAGGTCTGGGTCTTTTCCTCATTCCCATCTATTTCACTCTATTTTTCAGATCCTAGCCTAAAAGCCTGTTACTCAAGTGCCCTGGGCCTCAGACTGGCAGAATACATATTCTCTGAATACAAGGTCCTACTTTCCTGGACCAGCATGTGTGCACAGTCACATAATTATATCAGTATATTTTTTTCTTTGCTTCAGGACAGGGCTTCTCTATATAGCCTGTCTGTCCTCAAACTCACTATATAGACCAGGTTGGCCTCAAACTCATAGAGATCTGCCTATGTCTCCAGAGTGCTGGGATTAAAAGTGTGTGCCACTCTACCTTGCCT